TCTTCTTCTTCTTCTTCTTCTTCTTCTTCTTCTTCTTCTTCTTCTTCTTCTTCTTCTTCTTCTTCTTCTTCTTCTTCTTCTTCTTCTTCTTCTTCTTCGTCTCTAGCCCTTTCTGCTGTGGAGATGTAAGGGAAAGGCAAATTCCTGCAATGAAACAAGCTAGATACTTTTTAAAAATGAAAGCTGGGAATTCAGAGAATCCAGTAGACATAACATTAGACAAATATAACAATATGTAATTGCTAATTTAAAAATTGAATTAAATTGAAAAATTGCCTTCCTCTGCAAAGTCTTCTTTGGTAGTCTCCCATACAAGTGTCAACCCAGCTTAGCTTCTGAGATCTTAGCCACCCTGAGCCTGCTCTGGCGGGAGGGAGGGGTACAAATCAAATAAATAAATAAATATCTGACCAGATCAAGCTATATTATACCATTCTGATGGGAGAATAAAACTTTGTTGATCTTAAAGGTGCCACTTGACTCAAACTTTGTTCTGCTGCTTCAGACCAACACAGCCACCCACCTGAATCTATCTGCATGAAGAGTGCAGTTCAGTGTAGACATGTATAATGTCCGTATAGTTCTAGTGACACGGGGGAAAGTATTATCAAAGCATAATTACCTAACTTTACAAAGTTAATAGCTCGTTCTGGATTTCCTAAACGAGACGTGCTGAAGGAGCATGATATATGGGGGGCAGTCTTTGCTCATTCTTAAAACCTACGTAAAATCTGAGGCATATGAACATTTTCAGGTTATACCTGAGAGCTTAAACCAAGATTTCTTTTGTCATTGTTTCTAAGAACATATTCAATAGACTAGGGGGCTCCAACCTTTTTTGTTTAATTTATTTTTTATTAGTTTTTAATTTACAACACTGTTTCCACAACATTTGACAATAAAGGCACTTTTGGAATTCTGACACCTTGTGGTGGGTGCTGCCACAGGAGGCAATGGCTGCTGCAGCTTAGCTTCAGTCACACAGTGAAGACCTTTGAGCTGTGATGGCAGCTGCCGCCAAACCAACATTTGAACACCAAAAATCTGCACAGCCAATGAAATATCCAATAAGCAATCAGAAGCCTTGCTGATCAACCCCTCCCCCACTCCCTACTTTCTAAAAACACTTGGCAGGCACCTGGAAAGGTGTCAGTAGGCACCATAGCACCCACAGGCACCCCGTTGGGGACACCTCCAGAAGACTATTCCATTTCAAGTTTCAGTTATATCAAGTGGTCACATTTATATAAGTAGAGGGCTCTCCCTAAGCTATGTGTCTCATCTGCTTTAAATGCCTGCCTAAACACCTCCCCTAGGTCTTCTGAATGTTGAGATATTCGGGAAACCAATTTAACAAAAAGTTTGTTTTGTGTTTTTGTGATATTTTAAATTTATTTATTTATTATCAAATTTATACCCTGCCCTCCCCGCAAAGCAGGGTGTTATGTTTTGTTTACAGAACCAAGCTCTACAGTCAGGATAAAGGTATAAGGTTTTGTCCCCAGGGATCTCTTAGCTTTGCCTGATGATAACACATTTTGTTTTAATTAAATAGACACAGAGAACAACCAAAAATTGTGAACAATTTTCAAATATTTCAAATATTCTTTATTTTTATATTGGAGATAGGCATGCCAGAGCCAAAAGTGTAGGGTTGGATCAAGTTGCCAGTCTTCTTGGCTTCCCTCCCATGCTGCAGTCAGGAGGATGAAGAAGGTGAAATCATTCCCACTGGCCTCTTGCATGAATGGAGCTCCATTGACAGAAGAGGCAGTGATTGTAACCCCCCCCTTTCCCACTGTAGCCTCTTGACCCCTGGGCTTTGCAGCTTCTGTAACCCTGGGAACAGACTTCCCTGGGGTCAGAAATGACTGCTGGGGGGAACGGAAAACCAGGAAGATCTGAGATTTTTGTACAGGCCTTGCAAAGTCCTTGTTCTGGGTCCAACTCAACCTGTAATGATTGTGGGATGGATCAAACCTAACTTTCCATGAGGAAGGGTATTTCAGGTTATGCAACAGACAGAAATAATTTCTACCAATGTCCCCTTCCGCTGATGGTCTGTATTCCCACTGGTCCCCCCAACCTTCAGGAGTAACTTTCCAAGGAGTGCAGAGGGGGTAAAGCAGGAATGGAAAAGCAGACAAAAACCATTTCATAAGCTCCATTCCTGATTCTTTGCATCCAGACCTGTATGTGGGATAACATAGTGTTGGACTTTAGTGGTTACCTTCTACTAAGTAAGGAATCTTTCACTGGAAGAAGACATCTGACACTGAAGGACCTAACTTTACACCACCAATGGAACAAACCCTCCTCTAGCAAAAGATTCCTCTGTGGAAATAAATCACTGCAGCCAACCCACTAATTGGCTCTATCCTACTACTTTGTTCAGGTAACAGTGGCATTTTCCTCCATCTCAAGAAAATTTTCACATATAATAAACATGTTTCCTTAAGGCAGGTGTAACTCTAAATATGACTAATTTCGCTCCGTCCTGGTTCCTATGCAGTCAGCATAATTCTGAGAAAGTCCTAATAACTTTAGCCAAAGTATAAAAGAGGTTGTAAGAACAAATATATACTGTTTAATAAATTCATTTCTAGTATATATTGTCATCTTTATTTATAAATTAATATTCTTTGAATTGCTATATGTGTATGCCATGTTTTGATAATATAAAAGAAACAAGATCTATGTCCTGCAACATCATTCCAAAGCTTCTGAAATGTATTTTCATTGGGAATTAAAGTTCTATGGTGGCAAAACAGTGCTGCTATCCATACAAACTGCTTCTGCCGCAGACTCAAGGAATTAACGATGCTTATATCAACAACACACAGTTTTGTTTAGAAAAGAGAGGAGAGTACTTACACTTGTAGCCTCGAAGTTGTTTTGCTGTGGTGTTCTTCACTTCATAGATATTATCTGCGAACTTATGGATGCTTTGCTTTCATTTGGCAGCCTGGTTAATCTACCAGACAGGATGGAATGTGTGGTCTTGCACTTGTTGCTC